TATTTGGTTCGGGCATTTCGGACCTAGTCATTACGTTGACGGTCGTAGTCCTGTAAGTGGAAGGGAAGCGTTATATACAGATTGAGAAGAAGTAGTTTCGATCACCGGAATTGCAGTTTTATTAGTCTGAGCTTTCAAAATCTTGCGGGAGTCCATCGTCCGAGATAAAACCGTCAACGAAAGCAAACAACATATAGACGGGGAAGAGGGTAATTAACTGTCAACGAAAGCAAGCAACATTTATAGTGGGGAGGGCTCAATTAACCGTCATAGGGGCGGGAAAGAGGGGGAGGAAGAAAGGGAATGACATCACCAATATAGCCATGAGTCTGGAGATACCTGCGCGGGGCAATATAAGTGGGCGCCAGCTCGATGCATCGGTTGATTAAGTTGTCATCCGACGCCCAGGCTTCAATCATTTCTCGGCCCGCCTTGTTGCTTGCGTAGACAATTTTCCTCGCAGCTGTGAAGTTGAACTCGTGACCCCTTTTGTACCTGGGATGCGAACCTTTGCCTCAATTCGTGAGAGTTATATACAGATATCAGAAGGCGTGTCGTTCCATTGCAATCTCCATATATGTAAAGTGTGCCATGGTTAAGCCCGAATAAAATGCATTGCAGATTTTTTAAGAAGAGTTCGCCACTTGGGCAGAATACGCGGGTTTAAACATGAGTTTCAGGACCTACAAGAATGCATTTAAGTTGCAATAGTTGGCGAGTTTAAATGATCTGTCTTATTAACCGGGTCGTTCAAATATTTTCTATTTAGTTTTGGTGATGTCAGGCCCCCCAATACAACTGCAGCAGACAAATATTCAGGACATTGAATATGGAGGTTAGATTGCTTTTATTTAACGTCTGTGGTAGCTTTGCCAGATGGGAGTGTCACTTCTAATTTACAGGCCAAGGTTGCCATTGTCCGACAGTCCCGGATAAATTGGCAGTCTTATTTACAGTACGATTCCATACATTTTGACACCTTTAGAGGCCAAATGATTACTTCGGAGCAGTTCAATTTTATTTCCCAATTTGACAATGCTACAACGCCAGAAGCACGCTCCCGCATTATATCGGAAAATCAGCATGCTGTAGGCCCTGTCCGTCTTTCATTGTTTTAGGTTGCCAAAATATTCATTGCGTTGCTCAGTAAAATATCAAAAGAGCAAACCTTGCAATACGTGATTTCTCTGTTAGATGATGTGTTTCAGGTATACGGTTTCACTTCTTATTTTCCGCAGGAAGATAAGTCGAGGGTTGAATTGTTCCACAACTATTTCGCCGAGAAGAATGAAAATATATGGAATCACTTTTTCAACTTTCTCCAAAGGCCGAACTTGGTGTGCGTCTATCAAGTACTATATCTCCTTTGCCTATTATAACAAGTCTTAGATTTCTCGCATCATCACGAAATTGGCCTGTTGGTCATCGAAACTGATGGAGGAATCCTCATTGCGCTACTTTTTAGACTGGCTACAGGAATCTCTCCGACAGGCGGTCCGTTTTTTCTTGTTTTACCTTTCGCGCTTTCCTTCCTTTTTGTCAGAGCACTGTAACCAGAACCATTTTTCAATTGTCCTTTTATTTGCAGTTTTACAACTACATAGTTTTTTTATCTAACTACTTTTAACTGTTGCACTTACCAGCTTTACGCTGCAATGTAGATCATTTCATCCCCTTAAAAAGGCACAGGGTGTTGTGGGTGGTTGCCAATTTTATAACAACCCGTATGCGGCATATTTGTCTTTTGACCTACTGCGTACTGTCTTG